CCCCAAAACCCCAAAACCCCAAAACCCCTGAATAATATTTTGTTGCTGAAAATGGAGCTTGAGTTATTAGTACCTCTTCAATGGCCTCGGTTCTAAAGAAAGAAGTCCAATAATGATGTTTGTGCATCTCCAGACAGCAATCAAATTTTTCACCTACTTCTCTCTAATCTTATAGTCCAAATGCTAGATAATTTACAGCCGAATCTCTTTTAATATGATGTTTCAATCATAAAGCTGCCAGGGCTCCCTTTTGAAAGAATTATAACTCGATGCTAAGTTTATGTGCCGATTGTCTTGAGTCAAAGCCATAACATTCATGCAACCTCTGGCTCTATAGGTTCTGGTCAACAAAAGGAGTGTTTACAATACTTTAGGTTACATTTTCAGCAACTAATGCTGAATTCTCAAATTGTTGTTTCTCAAAATGTTATTATGTAGCTCAAGTGAAAATAGGAGTTATATCTACGAAATTAAGAAGATTCCCCCAATTGCATTCGATGTTGTTTCGTATTTGATATAAGACATTGGCAACATTGATTCTTCAAAGTTTAACAAGGCAAATTTACTCGCAATGCTATGATATTTGGCAAACATAAATTTTAAGCTTATCTTTCGAAAGCTTTTTGATTCATGAAAATAGTGATCTCCAATTTGTACAAAGAAGCGCTGAAAATAACTTCTATCTGAAAGGCTCTCCAACACTCATTTTGGCATGAATATTTTCGAAATAAATCGAAGCTAGTTTTGAGTTTACTCATCGAGAGAATAACAAAGAATAGTTCAGGAAGCCATACCATTGGAAGCTTCTGATAATTACGTTTAGAAATTTGAGCTCAAAGTTAAAAGTCTCAAGTTAAACTTATTTAGAACAAAAATTAAAATTTCAGGTCAAATAAGCATACAATGATATTCCATGGCGATCCTCTCATAACTTGGTCTTACTTAATTTAGTGGAAAATTCCGCTTTATTAATAAAATCTATTGTTTGAAGCCCTCAGTTCTGTTTAACTCTTTTGTAGCTCAACTTAAGGGCAGGATTAATTCTTTGAAAAGTCTTCATACTCTTGGTCCTCTCACGGAAAATTAGTTAGGATAAAAATTTACAACGTCAGCACAAGTGAACAATATGTGGCACCAAACCTTGGCTAGTTTTACGGTGAGATAAATACAAACATAGCAAAAACTATGATAAACTATTATTCAATTCTCTCTTTAATCCTTGGCACTTTAGGAGTGTTTTAGGAATCTTTCCAAAAATTTTCGGATTGGATGATGGAGCAGCTATGAATCCCATCAAGGTTAGTATCTTGATATACCCTATAATTATCAATTGATTCTTGTGCTAGCTCTTTGCTCTCAGCAAAAAGCAGAGTCGAAGAAGTGGCCACCTTCACTTCAAATTGATAACTCTCAACTGGTGGACATTATGAAAATTATTGTCAGAATTATGGAATATACTGAGTTAGCTTATCATAATTTGTTCAAGTTTAGCAAATTCTGAACTCTGAAGGTAATCTTGGACCCTCTTCTAAGACAACACTCAATCTTGGAATATTAGTGATACAGACGAGGATAAGATATTTAGTAACATGAAACAATTAGATTTAAACTCCATCGAACTTTATTCACAATTTTTACTAAAATCTCAAAGAGCACTGTCATCGAAGGGTTTGCTAAAATACGATAACTTGTAACTATAACTCTTCTGTTTGTTTGAAAAAGTCTCTTTGCTGAATTTTATTAAGACAACAAACTTGACATGAATGGGTAAAGAAGACAATGAAGGATTCATAGCAGGTTTCACAATACTTTTTACGAAATTGAGAGAATTTTTAGAGGCTTCGTTGGCAATTTCAGATATTTTAACTTTCGTTTCCATTATTATTTCCTAGCATCTGCTCTTGATAGACTACCTTTAGCAAATTTTTCAATAGATCCGAATAATTTATGCCTTACTCATATTATTAATTCAAGCTGCTCTCTAAACATATAATTGACTTTTTGATTATTCCTCAAGAGTGTTGATGCTTATTTTTAAGTCTCTACAATTCGTCTTTTCTTTTAAACCTGCCTTAAAGAGCTTCAAAGTGTGAAATTTCTTTACAGATGACAAGACGCAAGGACTTGTTGCAATTTATTGGTAAATCTTGAAATCTGATTGGAGAAAGATTTCAAAATATTCCTCACTCAAATTTAGAATGAAGGAGAACTATCCAGTTTCGCCAATTTTAGGATCCACCGAATGTCTGTAAAGATGAGAGAGTTAGACTTCAATTGTTGCGAGAATATTCTCAACTGCAAATCTATCTTCTCCACTCTCGCTATCTATTGCAAATTTTATTAATTGGGTTTACAAACTTGAAGACTCCATCAGGAAAGCTTAATAAATTTGTCCCCAATTATGCAGACCGAATGCTCTAAAAGTTCCTTCCATTTAAAAATTAGTTTTATGAAATCCTCTGCCTGAAATATCAAAATGGTAAACTATGTTAGCGATCATCAAGAGTTTTCTGAAAGAAGCCAGACATGGCTTCTTCATCCTGTTTGTTCCAACCATTTTGTGAGGAAGTTATATCCTAGATTTGTCCGAATAGAATATTTAAGGAAATTTTTAATCAAAATTAATAATTTTAACTATCTCAAACTCATGATTCATAAATCCCAAGTCAGAATTCAGGCTCTAGAGAAGGCCATCATTGAAGCCCTCATGATGCCACTCTGCTGCAAGACAAGAACTCTTGCAATGCCCTTGGACTCCAACGGCAAAGAAGTGTTCATTGATAAGCCAGAGAGGGATTACCCTATAGATGTTGCAAACTCAAAGGTGAGAATACGCTTCATTAAGACTCATTCGGATGGAATAGAGGAAGAATCTTACTTTGTTGTATAGGTGTCAAAGATTTCTCTGAATTATCAGTGTGATAAACTCAATAAAATTGAGCAAGACCCTTTCAAGACAAGTAGTGAGTAAGTTTATCATCTTGCTATTTGTTCTGAAATTTTTGAATTAGATGAAAAATAATTCTTATAAAAAGTCCTTTTTGTGTCGAACTTTTATTAAATTAATTACAATTTATAAAATACAAAGTCTTCTATAATTTAAGGATGACAAACGAAACTTAAAATAATGATTTGATCTGTATGAATCCCAACGATTCCACATTTCCTTCACAAAAGAGCTTCTCTCTCTTCTCCTTATACTTCAAACTATCGATGTGCTTGTGTAGAGCTCTGATATATTTTAATTTATGGAAACATGCAAAAATATTCCAGAGATATAGTCTACATTGTTTATGATATCGTAGTTTCAGTTACAAAATTCTCAGCAATAGAAATTATTCGAAACAGCATTAGCTTTCAAATTTTAGCTTATATACTTCACTCTTCTTTCTTATCATGGATGGCTTTAGTTGTCATGGCATTATAAGTTCTCTGACATATATTTAGGAACTCTTCAAACACCAGAGCAAAGTCTGTTCGTTCGTCACCAAGAACCTCTGTTCAGGACTCCAAGTACATGAACCCTGAACACTTGGAGCAAATGAACATCAAAGTGAAGCAGCCTCCAATCGACGAAATCGAGCGGCTCAAAGGATACAAGTACGAGCGTAAGTACCTGTTCAACGAGAAGACCATGCGCACCAACACAGTGCTCATCTGCAAGTACGACGAATGCAACAAAGTGTGCAACAAAACCTGGGACTTGCTCGACCACATGCGCAAACACACTGGCGAGAAACCTTACCAGTGCAAGGTCTGTCTAAAGAGGTTTTCGCAAAGAGGCAACGTCATCAAGCACAAGAAGATGCATGAGAAGGGAGCTAAGAAGAACAGAAGAAGAAGGAAAGCTAATAGTTATTAATTAATTAATCTGCATCTTTAGCCAATAATGTTCTCTATTTTTAGATCTTAGAAGCAAGAGATAGTTTCAGTTATGAAAAATATTGGTTCATGTTCATATCTCTGACTTAAACACAGTTGGATAGAATTCATCTGGATAAACTGAAAATAGACATAGGAATTCATCAAAATTTTCTTTATGATCTTTGACTGTCCCTTGTTCCTTCTTTTATAAGTTTTGGATGAAGGAGATTTTCATGAGTCTAAATATATGAATTCTTTATCACTTCAGGAAAATCTATTTTTCAGAGTATAATTTTCATTTGCTTACCTAACCCATGGAATCCTTTATGGATGTAATTTTTGAAGATACTCATGAATCACCACTTTGCTTTCCTCTATTTTACACCCTATAAAACAGTCTCTAAATTTTTAGCCAAGAAGGAAATAGTTTTCTGGCTCACTCTGCTTTAATTAAGTTGTGAGAAGCTGGAACAAAAGATGGGTGAGTCATTTCAACACAGTTTGGGATGTAGTTACTTAATCTCAATCTAGTATTCACATCCCGGGGTTTTGGGGTTTTGGGGTTTTGGGGTTTTGGGG